GATCCCCGTCCAAGAGCCACCTTGGCGAGCGCAATTTTAGTATCAGTATGAGTTTATTGGTAGAAAAGGAGGCGAATGCCCTTGAACACCCTACTGGTAACAAAATGGTAGGAAATATATGTATCAACTGCATGACTGTGGGGCAAGGCACAGCAGTTGTTGCTTAATCGAAATAGTAAAATAACATGACTACTCACTTATAGAGAGTAGTATAAAGTAGTGTGATGACCGTGTATATCTGGACAGGAATACGGGTTACATTTATTCTAGCGCTCTAGTACGGGTAACACCACCGCGGAAACCAAATCCTCAGAAAGCTCTAATACGGGACTGGCGTTACTGGAAATATAATTCTATTTTTTATCATTTAATTTACTTAATTTAGTAGTGTATTTTCTGGTTCAGTAGCCATCACCAGCTAGTTATACCCATGCTCCTAATGTAAACTGACAGGACGGCGAGCCAGTGGCACAGTGAAGTAGAGCGTTAGACTTCTAATTAACAGGTCGCAGGCGCGAGCCGCAGGTTGTGCGGCGCCTGAGGTTGGATACGGGGAGTTAATGACGGCTAGTCAGCGATAAATGGCAATTCCAGTCTTTGTCCTTGTCTTTACCGGTAGAAGCGAATGTGCGAGTTCCAGGAAGCAGTTCAGAGGTTCAGAAGATGCAATCGCCGGAACAAGAATTTTATTTGCCTGACCTTTCCGATCCTGGCGAGAATCCTTCATCAGAGATAGCCGTAGAATAGGGTGATACATGCATATTTATCGGATGTGGTGCAGCTTTGGACAAAGGAAAAATTAGTCGGAGAAACCGGGAGATTACTCGGGATGCGAATGGTCGAGCACGCAGCAGCGTCGAGGAGGAAAGACGCTAACTCCCAGGTTGCAGCTCACTCGACGGAATTTGTGGATTCCATGCGTTGCATATGGCTAGCATGGTCCAAATATGATTAAATTCAATGGCCCCCAGTGGGTCCTCGTACTTCGGTTAGTTAGAGCCTTGGATGTACTAAAGCCTTCCCCTTGCTGTAGTAGTTTCGAGGCCGCCACGGTTTTCACAGCGGGTTCAAAGGAACTGCCACAACTCTTCTT